CCGCGTAAACAACACGATGATACCCCTACCCCTACGGCGACTTTATATATCCTCTGCCGTGCAGTCCCGTACGACACCCTCGTACCACAGTGTCGTACTGGTCCGGCAGCGCCATGACGGTGTCGTGCAATCGGGCCATGCGGGCCGCCGCCTCCACCTCCTCATCATGGGCGTCCGGGCGGCCGTAGCGAATATTCTCCCGGATGCTGTCGTAGTACAAGGCCGTGTCCTGAACAGGAGCCAAGTCATAGAGCCAAGTCGTGACGACGTGTGCACGCACGGCCCTTTTTCCCCCTAATTCATAATCTCTATAATATATTATATATATATGCAATATACATGGAGCTAACGTTGTGAGCTTAAGCTAAACATTATCCACTCGACACCCCACTCCAGATTTTCCCCCCTAAAATCTTTCCCCCCTCCCCCCTCTTCCCCCCTTCTTAATGCGGCTGTAGCTCCTGCGCTCGAGGGGCTGTGCACCCGCGACCACAATCACAAAGAAGGGGAAAGGTGTGGAGCCGCGGTGCACAGCCCTCTGTACGACAAGGCGTGTTCGTACGTTGAGCGTGAGCAGCGGACTCACTCACGTACCTGCGGCACCACGGCGATGGACGATCGTAAATCTGCCAGCCGTAGCTGCCGTACATCCACTCCGTTGATGTAGACGCCGCTGGGCCGCTGGCCGCTACTGCCAGAGCAGCTGGTGCTGCTACTGCCGACTAGGTCGACTGCCTCCGCCGCCGTCGTGCCTTCGTTGCTGTGCCCCCCTTCGAGCCGAGGTGGCGTCCCTCCCCCCCCTGGACCGCCTGCCCCGGCACTGATACCACCATCACTACTGCCAGCCGTGGGAGCGCCACTACTGCTGGTATTGCTACTGCTACTGCTCGTGATGGTACCGTTTGTGGTACTGCTATCGACGCTGCTGCCGCAGCTACTGCTGCTCGAGTCACGACCTTCCGTGCCTGGCCCCCCGTTGCCGTCGCTCAAAGCCGTCGAATGAGCATCGTGGACGTACGGCCATACGTCGTACAGTCGCGTGACGAGCTTGAGTATGGTTGACTTTCCGCTGCCACTACTGCCAACCACCGCAACTGACTCTCCGGGAGCCACACGGAGCGAGACGCCGTGAAGAATCTGCAAATTAGCGGTTGATGGTTGGCGAATTTACGGTTAACAGTTGGCGGTTGGCGGGTCCTCAGTACGGCCAAGATACTGCCCCTCCTAGGGGCTCCTTAAGTCTGGACGCATGAAACCGCAAAACCCCACCTGGTCGCACCCCGGGCCACGTCCCACTGAAATTTATAGGAATTTCCTCCTTCTCGGCTTTTCCTCTCCTTCCGGCTGGACGGCTACACACCTGCTCATGAACCTGACTCATCCTTATGCCCCCCGCCGCGCCATGTCCTATCGCTATCCTGCCAGCTGGCCACCTAGGGTGGTTGGATTGG